CAAGATGACTTTCTGGATTAATAAAGGTTCAATAAAAAATTACTGTTTGGTAAGAATTTGTCGTTCTATATTTGATTGGGATGATTTTGTAGTGAAGTGCATCTGCATAAAATATACAAAAATATACCAAATAAAATGAATTAAAGCACAGATAAAAACGATAGAACAGAAAAAAATGGCAAAAACAGTGCTTTCACACTGTTAGAGTAAACTAATCAATGACTCCACAATGCATGCGTTTTAAACTGTGGTTCCTGGTTAATTATGAACTTGACATTGCAAATTTTGTGTTGTGACTATAGCTAATTCACACATTGGGATATTAATGAAAGTATTTTTTGTGGCCACTAGTTAACAGACAACATCTTGGTGTGCTCAGGGCTTTAGATGTACAATTTTCAAAGGAAAAACACTTCATGTACACTACACTTCCCAGACTCACTCAAATAACTTACCAAAATAGGAACCCAGTAGTAATGGAGACTGGGTGCAGTGCCCTTAAATGCATCCGTTTGTCCTGAGAAGAAGAAGAAAGCGAAGATCCCTGGAGGAAAAAATAAAGAAAAATGTAAAAACTTGTACATAATATCAACATCACAAGCAAACTCAAGTGTTTGACTGCTGTCACTGTAGACCACAGACTGCCTCTATGCAAATATATAGATACTTGTACTTGTAGTTTGGTTATGGAAGTGACGCAGTATTATGTTTTCAATGAAAATACAAAAAACAGCTTTAAACAAACAGAAACATGACAGATTGCTGCAGCAGTAATGTGACTGAAAACTATGAATGCACTCAAGCTGATCTGCTTATGTAATGAATGAACAGTGGTCCAGAGATTACAGCTAAAATTTATGTTGGTTAGTTTTTATCTTTTTGACTACATTTCAGTCTCATCTCTTTTCATCAATGATATTGCATGCTGATGTAGTCACCGTTAGTAGCAAAAGGACACTAATGATATCAATGTGGTCCCATCTTTAACTCATCTTAGTCTTGGGAAAAAAGAAAATTGTCAATGAACACATTCATTGACGAAATATTAATTTTTGAGCTTTTACTTTTACAAACAGCTAATAAAGGAAATTTAAATCTTTTTTTTTTTTTTCATTTTTCTGGTTTTGATTTTTCTCTAGATTCATTAAAAAGCAGGACAGTCCAATACATGTTTGACAGAACAGGGAATGTTTCAAAATAAGCACTTATTACACGACATCTATGCGACTTTTCAAACAGATGTTCAAAACAAAAAAATGAGAAGATGACTATTAAAGGTTGTCTAAATGAAGAATGTTATCTAAAAGTTGTCTAAATGCTTGACAATGCACATTAATAATCAACATTTTTGAGTTTTTATGCATTAACAGTATTTTTTAATCCCATCTAAAACCAGATTTGATCATTTCCGGATGGAATTCATCATTTGTTTTTTTACATGTATCCCGCTGTTTTTTTTTTTTTTTTATAAAACAACCTTTGGTCATTAACATTGCCATGAATGTTTAAAGTAGAAGCGTTGTTTAATTCTGTCCAGACAACAGCAGAAAACTTACCCACAAGACCAACGATGAGGAGTTTACCAAGAAACAAGATGAAATCGGTGACCTTATCCAGGACTACCACCCTGTGACCAGAACAAAAATTTTGTAAAATAAGCCTCATAATGAATCAGTCACACATTTCACCATTTGTTGCGTTTCTGAAATTAGCCCTGCACAATAATCAATATATGGACTTACCGCACAACACATGCACATGACCACAATTATTTTTGGTGATGCAATATATATCGCCCATACATAACCAATTCTTGCAACATTTTAGCCGATTGTGCAACATCTCTATTGGAGGTGTCAGAGTGAGGGTATGGTTAAAAAAAACAGAGTTGTATTTACTATAAATTACTATAGTACGTTTTCATGTGCCTGATGACTGAAAATAGATCGGTTACGTTTTTCTTCAGTTCTTTTTACCTTGGACTTTATTTGTTTAGAATATGCAATTTCACATTCTCAATGCCTAATTATTAAACTGTTAAAAATGACTATAATTACATTAAATATTCTTAAGAATAAAATATGATGTTCTTTGGAAGAGTCTACTCGCTTTATAATGCTTTTATGGTGTTAAAATAATAATATTGTTTATTGCAATAAATCTTGGTGCTATGAATCATACCACAAAAAATAAATATCATGAAAGGCCAATCTAAAACCTGAAACTTGCATTGATTTTTAGTCTGAAGTCAAGTCACTCACCTGACTACATTTCTCATCAAGAGGAAGAACGCATCACGCGCAGAGCGGCAGAAGTTTTTGCCATATATAGCAACCTGTGGCAGAAAAAAAAAAGATACATTCAAAATTCAAACTAAACTTGTTTGGGATAGCAACATTTGGAGACAAACATCTTAAGATAACCATTAAGTGAACAGATAAAAAAAAATGAATAAGTTATAACAAATAATACGAAGTTAAAATAAAGTAATAAATAACTGCAAACAGTTTTGCCCAATTGAGTGTAACAACAACAACACTAATGAAAGTCATCTATAAATCATCATTATTATAACATATCTACAATAAATATATTGTAATGTAACAGTCGATTAATATTAGCTGATTACTGCATTTTTTAAAACAATATAGCAAAGAACTGTACAAGCATGTGTGTTTGAATAATATAATAACTGAATAATATTTGAACAGTTTAAGAAAGTTTAGAAAAGAGACATTTGTGGACAGATTAAACCAACCTAAAGACTGTCCTTTGTTTTCACCAATTTTTCCACTTATCAAACTGTCAGACTTTCAGTAGAGCACAGTTACTGAAAGAGTTTTAAGGTGGCGATGGATTTAAGCATATGCTTAAACCAAATGCATTACCACTGATTTCTCCCAAAAGGAAGCTAAATCTGTGCTTGGAACAGGATGTAAACATGCAGACACTGCCCATGCTAAAAATGCAAACATCATTACAGAAGGTTAAAACTGATGATTGGTGAGGCCACTGCAGTGTACAGTTTTCTGCAGGGATGTAGAAATGTCTTACGCAGCAGTACAGTAGTCTGTTAATGTGTGCGACCGAGGTAAACAAGATCATGATGGATCAATAGTACAGCCATTCCTACACAGGCATCTCTTCTCATTCTTAATGCTAGGAAAACAGTGAAGTGTTACATCTCTTCTCTTGCGGCCCTTAACCAAAATATGCACAATTTAAACCAAAATATGCACAATTTGCATCAGTATTGTTTATTGTGAGTTTGGTCAATGTAAAAGTAGAAACATGCAGCGCCAGGAGCTCACAAAGTACAATCTTTTGATGACACTATGCACCTAAAGGCCAAAAATAAATGTATGTATAACCAATGTATATATAAAAAAAAACCTCTTTCAGATGTTTTCTATTACATAGACATTGTGACATTCAACGATCTAGCGGCTGCAGATCGTTGGTAAACTCGCACCCTTCACCTGGACTACAATTCTGTCACTTAAACTAGAAATCCCAATATGCATTTCGCATACACACCCGTTCCGGTTTGCCGCTGATAACAGACACACACAGCTGAAGCTGATTTCAATTACAAATGCAAGTATACAAGATCATTAACAATATATTAAGCCACATACAGTAAATATTAATAGCGGAGATTCCTTTAAAATCATCAGGTTTTTATTTTGTTGTGACCTGCAGACCTGAGCTTGGAAAGTGCTGCTTGTTCAATCTTTATAATCCATAAAGCAATAATATTTGTATTTAACAAATTTGAAGTGTATTAAACTATACTGACATGCCAAGTACAGTAACCACACAAACACTAAAACTAAGAGAAGTGCATCTCATCATGCCTAAATTCCCCTTAGATGTTATAAATTCAATCTTTGTAAATGCTTAAAAAAAAGGTTTTACAAAACAAAACCAAGCAAATACAAGTTTCGTTATTCAGTACTGATATCAGGAATGTTTGCTGAGCAACACTCTCAGATGTACGTTTGTAGAGTAATTTACAATGCTTTGAATGTGGATCATCCAATTAGAAATCAAGATCAGAACTATCTGCTTTTATAAAACATATTTTTTTGTATGCCAGTCAGTCAAATGTGTTGAAGTGATCAGTGGTTTAGTTTCTCACTGCAAAAAATTGTTTTCTTACTTGAAATTGTCTTGTTCCTAGTCAAAATATCTAAAAATTCTTAAAATCAAGAAGCATTTACTAGACGAGCAAAAAAATAGTCTTGTTTTCAGAAATTATATACCAAAATTGAGTTTTTCCTTAAAACATGCAAAATAATCTACCAATGGGGCAAGCAAAATTATCTTACAATTCTGTCACTTAAACTGCAAAACCCATTATGCACTTAATACACACACCTGTTCCGGTTTTCCGCTGATGACAAACAAACACAGCTGAAGCTCATCATTCATCCTTTACATAAACTATAAAGACCGCGCACACACATCTCTGCTGAGTCTTGTTATACTGTTTGTGTTTGTAATCAGTGGAAATCCAGAACAGGTGTGTGTACAAAGTGCATGACGGGAGTTTTAGTTCGTTAAGTGACAGAATTGTAGTCCAGGTGAAGATGAGCGTGTACCAACGATCTGCAGCCGCTAAATTGCTTGTCTATGTTCATCATAACAGTATGTTTATTTTGCTCACCCCATTGGCAGATTATTTTGTAATTTTTTATTTAAAAAATGTACTTAATTTTTACATTAAATTTCTGAAAAAAGACAATATTTTTGGCTGGTCTAGAAAATACTTCTTGATTTAAGACTTTGTAGATATCTGGACTGAAAACAAGATCAAAAATATTTAAGAAAAGCATTTTTGCAGTGCTGAAATATGACAAAGTTTTGACCAAATGTGAAGTTAATGTGCTTTGGAGGGCAGAATATTAAATAGAGGTGGGAATCACCAGCATCACCACAGTATGATATTGTCATGAAACAATATAATTGCCCTTTTAAATATATCACAATTTTCTACAAAATATTGCAATTTATTACCTTTGTCCAACTTCAAATTCATTCATTCATTTTTCTTGTCGGCTTAGTCCCTTTATTAATCCGGGGTCGCCACAGTGAAATGAACCGCTTATTCCAGCCCTTCCAGCCACAACCCATCTGGGAAACATCCACACACACTCGTACACTACGGACAATTTAGCCTACCCAATTCACCTGTGCCGCATGTCTTTGGACTGTGGGGGAAATCGGAGCACCCGGAGGAAACCCACGCGAACGCAGGGAGAACATGCAAACTCCACACAGAAAGGCCAACTGAGCCGAGGTTCAAACCAGCGACCCAGCAACCTTCTTGCTGTGAGGCGACAGCACTACCTAATGCGCCACTGCATCGCCCCCAACTTCAAATTATGTCCCCAAATGAAATCTTTGGCAACATCAGTTTTAACCAAACAGAAACATTTCTCAGTTGATTTATTTTCCTATTGAACTGCTGCAGTGCAAAAATAGGGCTGTCAAGCTGATAAAATGACTAATCAAACCGGTTATAAATGTTGTATGCACTTTTTTGTGATGCAGCCATATTTATTTTACTAACTTGTTGCATGCTTAAGGTTGACCCTGCTTACCAGAAAAAAAAACTTAAATTCAACACCATCATCTAGTGGACTGTAAAGACACTGATTTTAATATTCAACCAAATAGTACAATAAAAACAATACTGTACAAATATCGATATGGGTGTTTGTGTAGTAACATAATATTGCTGTAATGTCACAGTGGGGGCTCAGTGGTTAGCAGTGTTGCCTCACTGCAAGAAGTTTGCTGGTTTGAATCTCAGCTGGGTCAGTTGGCATCTCTGTGTGGAGTTTGCATGTTCTTCCCGTGCTGGCGTGTGTTTCCTCCGGGTGCTCCCACAGTTCAGAGACATGCGCTATAGATGAATTGAATAAACTACTATAAATTGGCCGTGCTATACGAGTACGTGTGTGAATGTGTATGGATGTTTGCCAGTACTGGGTTGCGGCTGGTAGGCCATCCACTGTCTAAAACATATGCTGGAATAATTGGGGGTTCATTCCGCGGTGGCGACCCCTGATAAATAAGAGACTGAGCCGAAGGAAAATGAATGAATAAATGTCGCAGTATGATGGTGCATCAATATTTCCCACTGATATTAAACACCACCAAAAGAGCTCTGCTTAGTCAGTGCAAGGGGTTTCTACTCTACAGTAAGTTGCAGTAAACGAACACGCACCATAATGTAGGCGTTTCTGTTGATGAACTTGATGAACTTCTCCAGACACCAGAAGCAGCATTTCAAACAGCACAGCAAGAACTTGGCAAACTTATTCTCTGCTCCTGTGGGAACAAGAGAAAGGAGAAGAGTTGTGAGAGCATTGGATAAATTAATAGATTCATATTCTGCATCATATGGGATCTACTGCTGCGTCTCTAATTAAACTAAAAATGTAATGTTAACCAGTGTATTCCCCAATTAACCAGCTTAGAACACTGATGCTTATAACGTCAGACTTATTTTTTGTTATTATGCAAAACTCTATTTAATTAAATGCTTTGACTGTCATTTTATGTGCATATTTAATTAATAACATATTGAAATTATTGATTAATTGCTTATCTGAATATTATTTTTCCCCCGATACTTTAACTTTTTCCTAAATTATTGTTTCTTAATTGGAATTTTTCTGAACTTAAAAAAAATCTAAACAATCAAAAACTATTGGCTTTTTAATTAAAATTATTATGTTTATTGCAATTTAGCAACAAATTAGGATTCTGTTTTCAAGGAACCCTACAAAGCTTTTTGATTATTAACATTTATTCCTGCTAAAATTAAATGAAAGAATGGACTTACTCCTTATAACAATAACAACAACAACTTCTATTTTCAAAAAACAACCTTTTTTTCTTGCATGAACCAAACGTTCATTTTGACGTGTATTTGTAAAGCTGTTTCTGAGGTATTTTGCATTTTAATATCATCAGACACAAGTCATTATAGTGAATTAGATGTGCAGCATTACTTCTCATCATCCAACAACTCCCAGAATTCTTCAAAGGAAACCTTTCAAATGTGTTTAGGGATGCAACTGTTAACTAACGACCACAATTTAATTCGTCACAGTTAATTCAACCCAACACCGTGTTTCTGCACAGAACAAAACTACTGCAGCTAAACAAAGTTACACCAACTGTGCACTAGTTTAAAGTTCCAGGCTTGCATTAACTATGGCTGAGGCTTTTAACTAAGGGCTGTTCCCATATCACGTCTTTTCTGCATGCAAGTTCGTTATTTTATTTATTTATTTATTCATTGTTCTGTCATTTATTTTCAGTGTAAAATTATTACTTATGTTTAAATACAAAAAATATTTGTTCACCTATTTTTAAGTCCAAAGAGAAAAGGACTGTTGTTTAGGATAATAAGGACTTTATTATTATTATTATTATTATTATTATCATTATTATTATTATTATTATTATTATTATTATTATTATTATTATTAGCTGTATTAATTGGTTACTAAACAGCAATAAATAACACTTTAAAATATAAGGGGTTTTCATGGGATTTTCTAAACTAGAAGGGTTTTGAAATGTATAAATGCTTAATAATCTATAGAGACTATATAGAGAGTATAAACACCTTAGACTATAATTGTACAACCAAAATCTATATTTGTTGCATCTCTAAATGTGTTGAGCAAGTAACCGACTGCAAATGTTTTTACCCTTGAGTTTGTGATCAATATACTCCAGCAGGACCCTGATAACCTGCACAATGGCGAGCAGGAGAGAGCCAAAGGCCAGAGAGCCTGTGTGATACCTGTTTATGGGCAAAACAAAGGATATATATCAATTAAATCCTCCACAGAATTCAACTTAATAGAGTAATAACAACTATTATTAAGAATGACAACTTTCTAGCATTTCTCCTTAAGGCATAGTTCACCAAAAAAATTTAAATTACCTCATTATTTACTCTCCCCGGAGTGCTATTTAAACCATTATGAGTATCTTTCGTCTGTTGAACACAAAAGATATTAAGAATGCTTGGGTCGACATTCATTGAAGGGAAAAATGAGTATGGAAGTCAAAGGGTGCCAGCTGCATGCATTCTTCAAAATATCTGCTTTTGTGTTCAACAGAAGAAACTCAAACATGAACATGAGCAAATAATGACAGATTGGATTTTTTTTTTTTTTTTTTTTTGGAGTGAACCATCTCTTTAAACTGCAGTCGCACCTGAGGGATCTGCCCAGAGAGGCACACAACGGAAAGGCTGGCATGTCTTTGGATTTATCAAAAGCCCAGTAGTACGATGCAAACGCTCCTGCCAGAGTCATCTGACCCAGAGCTGTGACGAAGTTGGCACACCAGAAAAACAGGAAGACGTTGTAGAACTGAAGCAGGATCAGGTATTTGTGATAAGGCGTCTCTCCGCCGTAGAAAGCAAACAGACACTGCGAGTGCGGACAGTCAGACTTCATGGAAGAGGATGTGAAGTTCTGCAGAGATCAAGAAAATGAGAAATGAGGATCAAATTACAATTTCGACTCAAACGCCAACTTCCCTGACTTTTCCTGCCTACAACACTAAATTTCCATGACTTATAATAAATAGGAAAACAAGACATTATTGTGCTTTGAATAATGTTAATTTTATTTGAGCTTGAATTGAATTTTTCTTGAATTTAAGAGTGATTATAAGAGAAATCATGGATAATTTTGAAAAGAAAAGATAAAAAAAAAAAGAGCACTAACACCCTGACTTTGTAAGGGTCATTTTGTAGCCAAAGCCCTTGAAACTGACATTTTTCTGGCATGTTTGTGTTACACTCTGTCCTAAAAACACACAATGTAACAAAATTCCAACAGCAAGAAATGTTTCTGTCCGCACCAGACGAGACACCAATAAACATTTAAACAGCAGCAGTTCAGAAATGCACTTCCAACAAAATATTAAGGTTTATAATCAAATTAATAAATATTAAACATCTTTAACATTACTAAAAAATACTTGCAGAGTGACTGATATTTGTTTGTTTTCACTGAGTCACAGTTCTAACATTAATTCTTAAACTATACAGGATTTTTACTGGCTATTTTATTTTCAATATTTGAGGTAAACTGTTTCCTCTTTCAGTATGGCAATAAAGGTCAAGTAAAATGGTACTTAATCTCACATTGGTAGCATTTAGCACTGAATAGGGAATATGCAGAAGCATGCAGAAGGACTTTTAATTTGTCAGTAACCTAGATCAAACACTTGGCGCAGTTACAAAATCTGCGAGTTTAAGGTCTGTTTTCCAACAATCAAAAAAAAAACAACAATATTTTCTGCTTAATTGATATACGATATAAAGTGGGTCTCGGAATGTACAAGACGCACTGAATTTAAATAACATTTTGCACCACCATGTCTTTAAAGTATTTAAATTTATTTTACTCCAGTATTTCCAATGGTGTTTCTGTGTTAGCCTGCTGATCCTGACGGGCAAGTGCGAATTAACGGCTTTTCATCTCGGTTTACGGCTGAACAACTAAATGAATGCTGAAGTCTATTTAACTGATTATATTTTAATTACATTACAACATCGATGCTGTAAAAGGAACTATAAAATTGAAAAAAAGTCACATTAACCATTCACCGGAAGTATATCAGTACGGGAAGAAACTCGAGCTCTGCATTTACCCTATAAAGAACATAATCAGCCTCTGAGGTGATCATTGTTATAGTAGTTTATTCTGTTGTTCAGCCACGACAGCACAAATAGAAACAGTTTCTAAATCCAAAATGTTGTGCATCGTGGATTGTTCAAACAAAATCTACTTTTAACATGGACAAGATCATTTTAGCATATGTTGCATGGCGTGTAGTTAAGACACAAGTTAGTTAACAGGTACAGCTTGGCAACTACTGAAAAAGGGAGAAATATAACAAGCAAAAGAGTAAATCAATGTTATAAAATAACTTGTCATGACATGGAGAAATTACATTTTGATAAATGTTATCCAAAATTCAAAAGCAACTAACAAAAGTGTCTGATAGAGTATGACAAATAAATAAAACTCCCTGATTTGTCAGTGCCAGTAATAAAACGTTTAAAATCCCATGGCCCATGGGAACCCTACTAATAGCACATTTTTCCTAGCCCTGGAAACTCCACACAAAAATGCCAACTGGCCCAGCCGGGATTTAAACCAGCAACCGTCTTGCAGTGACGCGACAGTGCTAACCACTGAGCCACCGTGCTGCTGCCCCACTGTAACATCTTTTAGACGTCTATTACTGGACATTTTGAAAATAAATTTGTGCATAATAATAATTATTTTCCAAACACACACACACACACACACACACACGCACCTCTGGGTTGCAGGTTTCTCTTGAATGGACACATTCAGTTTCATTGAAAACCTTATAAACCGGTTCACTAGATGTAGAAAGGAAACTGGCCAGGGGATTAAGGGCTAGAACCAGTGTGATCATGAGAAACATCTTACATAAGAATTTATAATATACAAACAACTGCTTGGGATATTAGTTTGCAGCATACTGTACATCTATTAGAGCTGAACTGCTGATAATGTTGAACGATTCCAATGTTAAATGCAATTTCATCTTCACATCTTTTTAGCAAAGCATTTACTTTGTGATCATCACCGTCACTTGTATGCAATTTGTAACATGTTGCTTATTTATTGTTCTTTATTGCTTTATCATTGCAATGTGACTTCTGGCTTCTTGCTGGGATTTTATGCAAGCTTGTACTTCTCTTTGTTTTTGATTTGTTATTGTAGATGTTGTAAAGAAAATGTATTATTATTATTATTATTATTATTAATAATAATAATAATAATAATAATAATAATAATAATAATAATAATAATAATAATAATAATAATAATAATAATAATAATAATAATAATAATAATAAAAAATGTAGTGTATTGTTTGTTTATGTTAGTAAATACATAAGGGTTCAATTAGTTCATGCAAGTTACTATTTCATTGTGTTATTGTATTTTCAAAATGATTTAAATTTTAAAATTGGTTAAAATTTAGGTTACTAAAGGCATGTAATGGACTTTTATTAGTTTAGTGTTCCCCACATTGCCACTCTTTTGATTTAGATTTCAACAGAGTGATAAACAGAGTATAAAAACGTGAGCGTCTGTCTTTAAGCGCTACAACGGTTTCAGTTTCAGCTTGAGTTAAGGATACACTGCATTAACGCCCCAGAATGCGATGACAATGGCCAGGAGGAAGAAGGTGAAAATAGGAAAAACCAGCGATGACATTACATAACCAATGGCCCTGAAAGAGGAAGACAAACAAACAGAGGGTCAACAAGACCAACACAAACCCAAGATCCAAAATAAAGCACGTACCTTGACATTAAGCATCAGGTTCTTATTACGGATTCAAAGGTAATAGGAATGCACAAAATAAAAATTCTGTCCCAAAACCAAAAGCTCTGTATGGACTTGGCTAAAAACCAAAACGAAACTGCTTTGTAATAATAATAATAATAATAATAATAATGTATTTTTTTATTATATAAAAAGTAATTGAGAGCTTAAATTTAACTCATTAACTCATTAACACATTTTAATAAATGTGAGAGTCTAGAGGTGTTATTTTACCAGCATTGCAATGATTACATGGTAGCACTGTTGTATGCAGCAGGAAGTACAGAAATATAGAAACGGTTTGTCAATGCATTATTTGACTGGACATTCACTTTAATCTTAATAGACTTCACTTCTTAGCGGTACACGTGTGGTTGATGCATTGATGTGACCTATTTGAACTTTTACCATGATGCACACTCAAGCTAAAGTGGTCAACGGTTTATATTTCATCCAAAACCACCATTGTGTTTTTGTCATGTGCATGCCTAATATGTAATGTAACTGACCTGCTGGCTTCCTTCATGAGCTCAACAGCGACGCGGATTCTGTTCCTGAGGAAGATGAGCAGGAGGATGATGATGAGCTCCAAAATAGCCAGGATGATTACTGAAGGAAGAAAGAAAGAAAGAAAGAAAAACAAGTGACTTCTGAACTTTTATATTTAGAAAATGCTGAATCTACAAGCAAACCTATAGTAGATTGATGTTTTTTGTAATGGCTATATTATATAGACAAATTAGAATAGGTCAAATTGGCTGTATCACCATCTCTCCACTCCACCTATAGCTGGTGTGTGTAGTGAGCGCACTGGCGCCATTGTCCTGTGGTTGCTGTCGCATCATCCAAGTGGATGCTGCACACTGGTGGTGGTGTGGAAAGACCCCCTCTCATGATTTTGAAGCACTTTGGGTGTATGGCCATAGAAAATAAATGCGCTATACAAATACACTTTTACTTACTTACTTACTTACTTACTTACCTACCTATTTACCTTACATACCTTACTTAAACAAAATATCACAATTACTACTCTCATTTATAAGAGGTTCTGACAATATGCGCTCTGAAAAAAATGGTAACACTATTGTTTATTTCAAATCAAGATATATAAAAAAAGTACAGTATATGCAATTACGTTTTTTGGTGTTGCATTGGATCAAAAAATTAAATAATGTGAAATCAAAATGAGTAAAAACTGTAGCAATAGAATGTAAAGCAAAATTTATTGTGGACAATAAATCAATGTATGTATATTACGGTAAAGGTTTTTTCCTCGCTGCTGTCGCCACTGGCTTGCATATTTCGAGCCCCGTAGAGCTGCGCATTGATTGATTTACTCCTCAGGGCCCTATCATACACCCGGCGCAGTGTGGCGCAAGACGCGGCGCAATAGTTTTTTGGTAGTTTCAGCTTGGCGCAAGAGTGGTTTTGAGGCGTTGCGCTACGCTGTTTAAATAGCAAATGCATTAGCGCTCATTTGTGCGCCCATAGGCATTCTGGTCTAAAAAGGAAGGCGTTCTGAAGCGGACCGCTGGCGCGTTGCTATTTTAAGAAACTATAATAGATTTTTCATTAGACCAAAACTAACCCGGTCTAGACTCCTTACACACTGCTTAATACGCACAAGAGAGCAATAGGCAAATATCTTTATATATGAAAAGATTTAAATATATATATATATATATATATATATATATATATATATATATATATATATATATATATATATATATATATATATAGGATATAATAAAAATATATATAGGATATAAATATAAAGGATTAAAATATTACAAAATATTATGTTTTCTAGCCAACATAAATATGAAAAATTTCTGCTTTTATGTCGTCTTCATCTCGGGAGGCTTTTTCAGTTCATTCATAACAATTTGCTTTTGTATAATGTTATTATTATTAGCAGTATTATTTATTATATCCATACTTATATTTGTTTTATTAAAAACAAGCTTAGATTTGCCCATCTGTCAGGTTTTAGGCCATATGGGGCATGGCAGATGTATTTGGAAATAACTCAGTATTTTGACCACACTTTGTCATTATTGTTCATTTATTCGGACTATTCGTTCATTTATTTTCTGTTAAAAAACTGTCAACTGTTAACTGTTTGCTTGTGAAATGCTCATTTTTTTCCACTTAGACTTACTTTGCGCCCTGTAAATATCGAATGCGCTCTTGGCGTGACGCAGCTGGCTCTTAAAGGGAATGAGAGATGAGACTCTAATTGGTTTATACTCAAAACAAACCTATAACTCATTAAGAAAATAAACTCAACCCTTTTAGCCCATAGGCCTTGGCGCAAAGCACATTTTCCCGTCCGTAAATTAGCAAAAATGCGTTTTGACACGCCCTGAAAGCGTTTGCGCACTGCGTTTTGCGCTCTGCGCATGGACCGTCAAAATAGAGCCCTCAAGTGTTTGGACTCTCGGTATTGAATACTAGCCACACTGAACTGAGCTAAACTAAACGAAACTGAACTGACACTGTTTTAATTTATTATGATATTCAATGTGAAGCTGTGAATCTACATTGTAAAAGCGCTATGCAAATAAAGGTGAATTGAATTAAATTGAATAATAAAACACACTTATGTTGCCATATACTGTACGAGTTATTGTGCTGAAAATTGGGGGAACACATATAAATCTAACTTACGATCCTTATGTACAGTGCAGAAAAAAGTAATTAGATTGATAGAAATTTGAAAGGGGTATTTGGAGCACTCAAATCCTTTGTTTTTTTTAAATTGAAGACACTCAAGTTCAATGATTTGGTTAAATTTAAAACAGCAAAATTTATGTTTAAAGCTAGGAATAAAATACTTCCGAAATGCATACCAATTTTTTTTAAAGATTTCAATTCAATTCACCTTTATTTGTTTAGTGCTTTTACAATGAAGATTGTGTCAAAACAGCTTCACATAGAAGATCATAGTAAATTGAAATAGAATCAGTTCAGTTTAGCACAGTTCAGTGTTTTAATAATCACTACTGAGAGTCCAAACACTGAAGAGCAAATCCATCAATGCGCAGCTCTACAGGTCCCGAACCATGCAAGCCAGTGGCGACAGCGGCAAGGAAAATTTTTTTACCAATTGGCAAAAGTGAAAAATTAAAAAAACACCTTAAGAGAAACACAAAGGGGATACAATCTGAGACAAGAACCAAATTTTCAGAGGTTAAAAACAAGGACAACTTTAAAAAACTTGAGTATGTCTGTATGTGGTGTGAAATTATAGAACCGTCTAGAACAAATTCTCAAACAGTGTCAGGATAATAATCAATTCAAATAGTTGTATGAATATATATTATTAAAGGAATATAATGATGAACGGAGGTGATTGAAAAAGGATAAAATGAGAAAGGTAGGATGAAATTTCAATTAATAGCTGTTCACAATACTACGCATTTTTTGTATGTTGAATGTCTGTTATAAACATTAAATGTACAAATGGAATCAAACATATATGTCAAAGATGCCAAATATATAAAATCTCTCATGTAAAGCTCACATGTCTCATGTAAAATGAAGAGAAGTAAAAGAAGAAGTAAGTTTAAGTAATAGGCAAATGATGTATGTGGTAATGGGGTGAGGAAAATAATAAGCTTGTCCTGCTTCATCCTGCTTTATTTAAATTGTTTTGTGTATGATTTTTCTGTTCGAAATAAATAAATCAAATAAAATCAAGTCACATTTCATGCAATTAACAAACCATTAACTATCCCTACTAGCTTAATAAACTACTAATTGGCTGCTTATTAACAGTTAGTAAGGTAGAAGTTGAGTTTTGGTTTTGAGAAGCCGAATAAGATACAACCTTAAACTACTAATAAACAGTTAATATCTTAATAATAGGCAGGTAATAGGCCAGTAGGTAATGGCATGAATTGTGACAGTATTACTAAACAAAAATATATATATTTATAAATATAATAAGATAATTTAAATGAATTTAGTTTTAAATCTGTGACTATTAATAGACTCAAACCCTTTATTCTATTCATTACTGGATGAATCGCCATTCTTGAAGGAGTCGCTTGAACAACTTATTCAGTGTCGAACATATTTATTATGGCTGCCAGTTGCCACATATTGGTGTAAATGTCTAATTGCTACAACCATGATTTGAAGTGACTGATATTAATAAACATCAGTGTTTATATATGAATGTTTTAATGTCATTCTGTGTTTGAATGTCTGTAACAGAATTAAATACATTAGTTAAAGAAGCAAAATGCTTCAAGACGACTAATCTCTCTTGTAATAAATATATGCAAATTGTAGTAGTACAAATGTATTAAAATATATAAAGAAATCTGACTGCCTATATGTGAAATACAGTATCATGAGTTTCACTCCAAAGTAATGCAACGTGTAAGTTTGAGGCACGGCTTTGTGTTTTGTCTAACAAATGGCTGGGTGAACACTTTCAGGCAAGTACCGGGAACAAGATTTTTCTACTAAACTTTTCATGGCTGTTTTTGTTTCCACTAATAAGCACTGTGCCTAAATTGTGTATTTAATTGAGTGCCAGGCTGCAGTAGTTCAGATTTTCCAATGAATGACAAAGCAATGGCGAGTTCTTCACGATGAATGTCCTGCATTCTCCGGTGCCTAGACTACAGGCTCTGCATAAGAAGTTTGGCCAGAGGAGAAATGATCGTGTCCAACTGAGCCTGGTTTCTTTAAAGGTATTTTTCCTTAACTTTCATCAATTGGTGGTGTTTGTTCCTCGCCACATGGTTGCTTTGTTTTGGGACTTGTGGAGCTGCGGATCAATGGATTTGCCCTTCAGTGTTTGGACTTTCAGTAGTGAAATTTTAACCACACTGAACTGAACATCAACTCTGAAAACCGGACTGACACAGTTTCAGTTTTCTAGAACTTCTGTGTTAGGCTGCTTTGGCACAATATACATTGTAAAATCACTAAAGAAATAAAGATGAATTGATGTTCTCATTAATGCATTCTGCTGTGAAGACACCCGAAAAATGCAGCAGGTCTATCTCCTCTTCAATTCACAACATTTTGAACCTTTAGAAATAAGACTCATCTGCTTTTGAATCTATTAATCGTACAGCTTTTAGTTCAGGATACTCACTGAAGGCCAGCCAGGTCTGTCTGATGTGCAGGTAGACGGCGAAATCAGGCTGGAAGCCGAGCTGCTGCAGGGTGATGTTGGAGCCAGGAGTGTCTTTCAGACTAACATACTTTATACTGCAGTGAGCGATACCTGTGTGAGAAACAGTCAAATGACTGACGCTTCCTTTCTGACATTTTTATAGTATTATTATAGTATTAAAGGGACAGTTCATCCAAAAAAAAAAAAAAAGTTCATACTCTATCTGGAGTTTGTTCTCATATCATATTCCCAATACTTCATTTTTAAAATGCTTTTTTTCCTTCCTTTTTGGAGTGTTTTAAGATCGATCTGTCCAGGTTTTGTCCTTAAAACGTATTTCCTTTATAAAGGTCAATGTATTGTTGTGCATGTCTGTGTCAAATCAATCAGTTAAAATTTTTGATGTTTATTTTTCTTTTGTTGTGAGATCATGTGACCTAGAGGTGTATAAAAGAGCAACATGCTGTGATCGATGCATGCAACTCCTAGTGATGGCTTTTTTAAGTTAAATTTACACCTTATGCATTTAAAAAGGTCATATTTTGGATTTAGGGGTCTCCAACGACAGGCTGATGTGCATGTAAGGTCAAAAAACACTTCCGTTGTTTTATAATATGCATTTATTTTTACCACATTAACCCAACGACTCCCGTATGATTCGTTCTATGATTCATTTGTTCCCAAATCCCTCCTTAGCGTAAGGGCTAAACTGCGCTGATTAGTCTGATGACCCAGTCTGTTGTGATAGGTCGACACTGACTGCGTTCAGCATAAGACAGAGAGAAATGTCCACCGCAGCTTACAAATAACAATTATGAAGTAGTAGTCGTAGTGCAGAGTGTATGTGTGAGCCCAGTGCAGGAATGCATTATTCATCTATTCTTAACCATAAGTAAAAGCAGTGGCACACATTCAGTATTAATCCATAAAGCGGCAAAAGCTAAACTATTTTGAAACCTGACGGCCACACGTGTGTAGGAACAGCTGACTGTGGCCATAACACCATAGCAATGACAAACGGCAGAGGATTGCGAGCTCACAAGCTCCCAGAATGTTCACATGTGATGTCCCATGTATTCATCATTTGAAGTACTTCAAATCCTTGTATGAAAGTTGTCCCAAAACCATCAAACTTTTGCATCCTTTTTATGAAAGCTTGTTGCTGCTCATTATTTACAGCCGTAATCTGGATGAAACCGTGTTAGACATTTTTAAATCACATTTTTTGGTTTGAAAAAAGGCTTACAGCATTTAAAAATCAACAGCAGGGTAAAAGACTAGTTAATTTTCCTTTTTCGATGAACTCTCCCTTTAACATATGAGTGTTTTCAGCGGTAAAGAAATTATACCATAGGCTATGACAGCTACGACCATGAGGATCATGACCCAGACCATGACTCCAGCCAGAAATCGTAGAAGAACAATGAAGATCAAACTCAACACAACCGCAATCAACAGACAACTGTATAAAGAAACAGATTAACACTCAGTCACAGCAGGAAGGATATGTCCACAACTGTGTCAATACTGCCTACTTAACTCTTTTTAAAATGAAGGACACAAATTTCAGTGTCTAAATACATACTCTGATATCTATACCAACATCCCTACAAAATTACATCATTGTAATTAATCTGGAATGCAAAAAACTATTGCTCCATAGAGATGGTCCAATTTTAGAAAATGTTATGAAAATGTCTATGAAAATCTAATCTATGACTTTTTATATGTTTTGGAATTCCTGAATAAATAAATAAATAAATAAATAAATAAATAAATAAATAAATAAATAAAATGGATAACGTAAAATAAATAAATTAAATAAATTAAATAAATAACAATAAATTAACTAAGAAAAAATAAACAAAGTAAAAAAAAAATCAATAACAAAAATGTAGACACATTTAATAAAAATAACAATATATAAATTAAAGTAAATACATTTAAAAACATGTAAAACAGTCAAAATAAATAAATAACGATAAATTATTGTGACAAAACATTAATTCATTTAAAGTATTTTTTAATAAATAAAAAATAAAACAAATCAATAGAAAATGTAAAACTTAAATATAAATAAATACCAATAAATAAATAAATAAAAATAAAATCTAAAAATAAAATAAACTAAGTACAAAAAATAATTATTTAAAAAAAATTAATTATAAAAATAACATTTAAAATAAGTAAACAAATAAATAAATAAATAAATAACAATAAATTAACTAAGAAAAAATAAACAAAGTAAAAAAAAAATCAATAACAAAAATGTAGAGTAGACACATTAATTAATTAATATATTGTTATTTTTATTTAACGTAAATAAATTAATAAACATGTAAAACAGTCAAATTAAATAACAATAAATTGTAAAAAATTAATAAATTTAAAAATAAATAAAAAGTATTTAATTTGATAAATAAAATAATAAATAAACAAATCAATAGAAAATGTAAAAAATATATATAAAAAAATAAATACCAATAAATAAATAAATTAAAATAAAATGTAAAAATAAAATAAACCAAGTAAAAAAATAACTATCTAAAAAATTATTTAAAAATAAATTCATTTTAAATAATAATGAAAAATAATATAAAATAAGATAAAAATGTATAATAGATTAATTAAATAAAAATAAACAATAAATAAAAAAATGTAATAATAAAGAAATAAAAAAATATTTTAAAATGATAAATTAATAAAAAAGTAAAATAGATAAATTAAACAATAAGTAAATAACAATAACTAAGTTAACTAAAATTAATAAAATCAATAAAATGTCAAATAGATCAATTAAATAATAAAAATAAATAACAAATTAATTAATTAAAATAAAAATGTAAACGAATAAAAATAAAGAAGTATATAAAGAAAAATAAATGAATAACTAAACAAAAAAAGCATAGTATACTATATAGTATATATAGCTGGAGACTAAAATTACAAACCAAAACTGATATTAACTGGACTAAAACTATAGTAATGGTCATTAAACAAACATTACAAAAAAATAAAGCTAAAATAAAGAAATTTTCAAGTTTTAATACAAGATCTAAAACTGTAACGATATTAATGATAATTGACTGCATGTCAAAAGTAATGACTAAAAAAAACAATATTTTATCCATTAAATAATTTCACTTACATTAAGATCCAGTACCAAGACTTTGTGTAATCCTCAAAGATCTTCATTGCAACCTGACGACCCTCCATGACTATCGAGGCGTTCCTCAAATGGTTAAAACAAAAGATTTTTAATAAACAGCCCGCCTGCACTGCAGCGTTCTCACACTGATGCGTTATTATATTGCATATGTATACTTGAACAGTATAAAAGGTGCTTACTTCATTCCAGCCATCAGGTCTTTAGCATCCAATTCATTCACTCCATCACTAAATTTCTCCTGATCACCCACAGTAATGACTTCACCCTTTTTGCCCATAGAGGGAAAACACCGCTGTAAAACTAAGACAGAGAAATAACATTATTTATCAGACAAATACTAAAAGTGTAGTAATATGAAGACCGGTCTTACATGGATTGCTGGAAACCAGATATGCTGGACAGAGCTTCTCTTTCAAAATTTGCGCAGCAGCCTTTAAAAGAAGATGATATTGATTAGTCAGCTGCAAAAAAATTTGACACTTGCAAATAAGTAAAAAAATATCCATACCTTATGGCCTGGGTCTTCTTTGCAGTAAGATTTGTAATACTCCCAGTCTTGTGGTTTTGAGATGGCAGTTATCAGAGTCATAGTACGATTAGGACACGTCTGTACACACACCTGAACACAGAATAAAACGCATGCACTGGTTTGTCAAACTTGACTGTAACAGAAAAAGCGGAAGGATAAAAAAAAAACATGCAATCCGAACTCAGTTCTCAACATTCGCACATCCTTTTTGAGTGAGACACACACAAATCTATTTACATATACAAGTGGTGTGACGAGATCTCAGGCTAATGATGAATGTAGTGATGAAGCATGAGGGTAAATTCAGCACTGAAGATTGGAGGCAGGATTGGATTTAAACCTCAAATCAAGTGCTTTGCAAACATATAGCAACCCGGGCTGTCTCAGTGCTGCATGTCACTCATTTGCTTGGGCGTCAGTGACAAAACTGCTCTTTTCACCAGAGTTCAAATGTGTTGCCCCATCCAAAAGAAAAGGCTGCTACAACAGCATCCACAAACATTACCCAAGCGATAGAATAGCACTTTAGATACGCTCAAAGTCATAATCGGAGTAAACACGAATTGAATTAAGACGTGAAATATTCCTATTTTATTCACATTATTGAAGTGCTGTACAGTCATGTAAACTCTGTAATCAAACTATTTCCGTCGTGTAGGATCTTTAGCCGCATTTCGCGACAGGATAAGCCATGCACACATGGCTGTTTGACACTATTCTCTGCACCTACCAAGTCAATAAAGCACCACAGACACACACACATACCTTCTCACATATTATGTATGTACACACACGCACGCACGCACACATATATACATAAACAAAATGAAACAATTAAATTAGTTAATCATAATAAAAATAAAATAATAATCATCATCATCATCATCATCTTTTATATTACAATAAAAATATTTTTCGTACTATATTAACAACCAAAATACTTATATTTATTGAAATTGTTTAAAAGGAGAAACAATTCTGTTTATTAATATAGTAATATTAATACACCAACACTATTTATTTTATTATTATTATTTTTTTTTTTTTTGCTGATCTATAATATAACCAATACTTAGTTTAAAAAAAGTAAATAATAATAAAAATAATAATAATAAAAAATAATAATAAATGCCATTCCTTTAACCACTGTATACAATTCTGCAATGACAGCACAAGTACTAAAAATAGTAGGCAGAGACTGAAATGAAGAACACAAACCTGAGGGGTGGGACACTGGAACTCTAGGAGGACCATGGGACTGGCGCACTTCATCATGTTAAAGTAGAACAAGAACGGCTGCTTCCTGTTACACACAAACAAAATCTCAATTCACTCAGGCTAATAGCAAAACTCACTCAGCAATCAAACACAGATGGATCGGCTGATACAATAAGTGCGTGTATTAGCAGTTGAATTACAGTATTTTCTGCAATATCAGTGACCTTTTCTCATCTGAAATTTGCTATTCTAAAGTGATTCATACACAGTAAATAACTCAGTAAATGGTAAAGCAAAATTGCTTTTATTTATTTATGTTTTATACAGTTCTGATTGATGCTAGGCAGATGATGATTGTCAAAAACTGGAAATCTTCCAGTAGACCTCCGATGTTTAAGTGGATCTTAGAGTCAGGCTGAGTGGCAGCTTGTGAAAAACCTTCCGATGGGTTACATGGAAGGACTGAAATTTATTTTGATAAACTGGAAAAACGTATGTGGCCCACCATGGGAGCAAACATGCAACGAGACAAAATAATAATTAAGGCTATGATATTGGCAACCAACCACCCTTTTTTGTTGTATGTTTTAGTTTGGTTTATTTACTGAGTTTAAATGGTTATTTATTTATTGCATTTCTTTAATTGGCATTGTTCTCCTTTTATGCTAATGCTCTGTATTTGATATTCATGTGTTTATCATTTGCAAATAAGAAAATCACCAAAAAGTTCAAATCATTTATGTATACTGTAATGCCATTTCAGCAGCATTGCCTTTATTCAAGGTAAAACCTACACTAAATATACAATAACATGCAGCCATATACGTTTCTTAATAAACATTCATTGTACAAAAAAAAAAAAAAAAAAAAGACTGCACTGAAAATCTCACTAATTTGTAACTCATAATTACTACTACAGACTTCACCTCTTTTTATTTACTGTTTGGTTTACAATTTTTTTAGATGACAGAAATTACTAAAAAAAATAACCAGTTAAAAATAACTACAGTGATGAACATTTAAAGGGGATCACAACCTTTCATCAAAGTTGTCCTTAAACTTTTGAACAACACCCATTCTCATCTCCTTGGACAATTTCGATAAACTTTTATTTGATCAACCTCAAACGTTAACTACTGTACACATTCATGACTCAGAATTGAAAAGTCTGATGAGGCTAATGTGGAGCAGCAAGTGTTGTAATAATCTTAATCTCGGTGTAACTCACTCCAGTTTCCCCTGGCCACAGAACTGTCCCATGCTGTCTGTGGGGTAAATCACCTTCCTCGGGTCACCGTGAGTCCAGGCTGTGAAACGAAGACAGAAACGATGATCATTAAACACACACATGTAGGACGCAATAAGGCCAACTTTAAAAACAATATAGACCCTTTTTAACGTTTCTGGGTTTCTCAGCAGATTAAGTGATCATAGTTGGGCAAACTTGGAGTGCAGGGAATGGGAGAGTACCACAAATACATTTGCTTTCCAATTTGCTCAAATAACAAAAACTAAACCTTAACAATAGTTTTTTTTTTTTTTTTTTTAACATGACTTTCAGAAAATGTCAAATAAATTGATAACACCAGAGAACAATGTCAAATTTACTGTCCCTCCTAAAGACTACAGTATGCATTGGAAAAACATTAGAACATGCTTAAATAAGATTTCATCTTTGCAGGAGGGCAAAGTATAATTTTACGTTTATTGTTATTATTATTGTTTATATAAATCAATGCTTAAAATGATGAGTTGAACCAGAATAAATGAGTAGAAACAATAACATAACCGTAATATTTGGATTTAGTTGCAACAATGGGATTGCAAAAGAAAACAGACCAAACTATTAAAATTCATCTGATCAAAACATTGATTTAAAAGGGGACCTATTATGCCCCTTTTTACAAGATGTAAAACAAGTTTCTGATGTCCCTAGAGTGTTTATGTGAAGTTTCAGCTCAAAACACCCCATAAATGATGTTTTATAACTCTTTGAAACTGCCCGTTTAGGCTTTGATCTAAATTGGGCCATTATAGTTTGGTGACTTCAAACGAGATTGTGCTCTATGCCCTATATTTATCAGGGCCGCCTATGCTAATGAGGGAGAGATCATCATTAGTGGAAGGACTCCAAGATGGTACGAAATAAGACTCTCTGGTCTGATAAGACCAAGACAGAACTTTTTAGCCTTAATTCTAAGTGGCATGTGTGGAGAAAACCAGGCACTGCTCATTACCTTTCCAATACAGTCTGAACAGTCAAGCATGGTCGTGACAGCATCATGCTGTGGGAGTGTTTTTCAGCTGTAGGGACAGGACGACTGGTTGCAATAGAGGGAAAGATGAATGCAGCCAAGTACAGGGATATCCTGGACAAAAACGTTCTCCAGAGTGTTCAGGACCTCAGACTGGGCTAAAGGTTCATCTTCTACCAATACAATAACCCTACGAAGGAGTGGCTTCACAACAACTCCATGAGTATTCTTGAATGGCCGAGCCAGAGCCCTGACTTAATCCCAATTGAGAATCTCTGAAAAAACCTAAACATGACTGTCCACCAACGTTTACCATCCAACCTGACAGAACTGGAGATGATCTGCAAGGAGTAATGGCAGTAGATCCCCAAATCCAGGTGTGATAAAATTGTGTACATTAATGAGGAAAAACATGAACTTAAATGATTTTAGCAAATGGCTGCATTATAAAGAGTGAAACATTTAAGGGGGTCTGAATATTTTCCATGCACACTGTATATATAGACCGCATGTAAAGGAATATTAATTTGTTATATTTTAAGCACATGCATAGAAATGTACTCATTCATATCTCACTTTTAACAAATTTTGATTAAAAATGTAGGGATATAAAACAAACATTAATAAAACACAAAACACTTCTCAAAAGCTAATGATTACAGATCCAGCATAAAAGGTCCAAATATTGCGAAATAAAATGCAAAATGTGAACAATTCTTTCAAGATTAAAACTTTCTTACGATGCTGTTATTCATCTTTCTGTCTTCATCACTGTAATGGCGAGCAATATTGTGCTCATATTAATTATGAAAAAGGATTACCATAAACAACATATTTTGTGACACCACATTAGAAACGATGGAGCATAATAGGAAATGATAGACTGTATTTTGTCCATATAATATTGCACAGCCCTAGAGCAAATATTTTGAAAAGTCTTATCGCAAAAAGGATACCTGCATTAGCTGTATTAAAATGCACACATAAAAACACTACAGTACATATAAAACTAAAAAGAATCATTACATAACAGCCAGTCTCTAGCACAACTGCAGGCTGACTTACCCAGTATTCCCACAGCTAGGTAGCCCACGATGGCTATGATGAAAATGATGCAGCAAACAATGTCTGTACATCCTCTGTGGTGCAGAAACAAACAGTCAGTTATAAAAAGGCATTAAAACAGTTCATCTACAACAGAGATGCCCAAACTAGGGCCTGCGGGCCAAAGTTGACACATGGAAACCTTTGATTTGGCTCTCCATCCCATCTGAAAGAGGGAGAATGTTGGGGATGGTTTAGAGATGGTTAAAGCTTACTGAAATTAAATGTGTCAATTAAATAGTTCAGATTTAGTTCAAATGTACATACAGTCAACCCAATGAAGAGACAAATGTAAGCAAAGGCAGATTTTTTTCTCAGCACGGTGTTATAAATGTGATTGTTTATGTTTTTATTGCAAGAAGTTATCATTTAAAAAGTTACACTGAATTAGTTAAATAGAACAAAATAATTTTAAATTGTATAATTTTGAAATATTATGAGAAAATGTTAAGAAATTATCCATGGCAACTTTAAGGATACACAGTATAATTCGGTTTATTTACCATCGGCCCACGGCTCTTAATGATATTTGGTTTTTGGCCCTACATACGAAAACATTTGGGCACCTCTGATCTACAGGATGTTAATCTACAGCATATATAGTTAAAGTATATGCTGTGGTACTAGTTTGACTTTGATAAATCTAATATAATTGTTTAAAAACATTTATATTGACATTTGAGTATTTTTAGAGTACTTTAAAATACAAACCTACACAAAAAAACTTAGCAAGGGTTTCACTATTTTGGTGAAAGCTTAACTTTCTTTCAAAGCAAGGTTGACATTTGCATGGAATTTCTCTTACCTGTTTTGGATGGGCCCTTTGAAGCTGGGGTCGAATTTCCTCGGCTCTCCTGTGAAAACGAGGGAAAAACCAATCAAAACTCCAGGGATCTTTAAGATCAGAGGTTCCCAAACTTTTCAACTCACGACCCCCAAAGTAACAATGCAAGATACTCGCGGCCCCTACTATCCTCAGAGGTGGTTATAAACATACAAACATTGCACACAACGGTGCACACACACCAACTGAAGCTATATAAACAAGCTTACTGACAAAAATTGCAACCGACTAACAACCATATACTTTATTTATAGTAACTATTCATCCGTTTCATTTAATATCAACTTCAGTTATTGAGAATGGTGGACACAAGGTTTACAGCACAAGACTATTCTTGGTTAAAAATTGGAGACCGCCACTTGGAGCCTTTGTTCAATCATGGCCTTTATTTTTAATGTTTGTGAGTACCGTAAAGCTGCTAAAGTTTAACATTGAGCCATAAAATCCCTCTGCTGCAACTAACACTATTGCGATGTCGTTAATCTAGTGTAATAAACCCAGGGGTCACAATCCAATAGACCAATAATTGAAAGGCTGATGGCTTTTTTTTTGCATGCTGTTTTTTAATCCAACTATTTAATACATTTTTTATCTGTATGTTATGGATAAAACACGGCCATTCTATTAGTTTAATAACATATAGGATTTTTTTAAAATCACCAAGCGACCCCCCTTTTTGTCTCACGACCCCCACTTTGGGAAGCACCGTTTTATATCACAAAAGAAGTGTGCTTGCAAAAATGTCACCGCAGAAAACCAATGACTATGAGCTCATTCAGACCAACATCTTCACTTTTAAAATGAGGGCAGAGGGCACAGAACAGAATAGAAACTTGCACGGGTTGTCCCACTTCCAAGCTCTTCTAATTGGTCTTCTGTTTTGAATCAGACAGTGATGAACTGTGTTGCGTGTAGACGTTGAAGACCTTCTTTTGCTGCACCTAGACTGAAAACTACAACCAAAGGCCTTACAGTGTGGCGTCGTAGCATTATTCTGTAATTATAGTAAGTGCTACAGCCTGCATTTACAACAGTGCAGGTAGAACTCTGGTAAGGAGTGCAACCAGATTGTGTCAGCGAAAAAATGGTGGACCCATAGTCACGTCATGTTATCTTTCAACATATTTCACAAAGTGTCCTCATTTACATTATTTTAAGGCATACAAGTTTTGATACCCAAAGTTCAATTTAACTTGACACAAAGTCTGAAATGCGCAGTGTTTCAAAAGATGTAACTTATACACACATCCGTCAAGTGTGTGCTCCATTTAGGGCATAAATCTAAACCTCAGTCTTGAGTTTCTACAAATCAAGCACAATATATTTGCTTAAATAATGTATGGATGACTTATATACTTCACTACATAAGTTACAGCACATGCCTGGGGCCTGTACCATGGGGCTGGATTAGCTGGCTAGCCTGTTAAATTTACGTTCAGTTTGCACTAATTCTGGGTTTTAGGCACCATAACAGCTGATCCATAATACAGGGCTCGAAATTGCTATCATTTTTGTCGCATATGCGCCCGAAGATTAATCTATGCCAGCTCAAAATATATTTGGCAGCATTGTGCGAGTGCATGAAATTGCTGTGTACAACCAGTTTTTACTGCAAAAATGTTCACCACATGCGCGGATTCGGGAGAAATTCACGCAGGATGCATCTCTGCACTTGAAAGGCAAAACTCAGTGCTCAGGAATGGTTTTAAACAGTTGTCATGTCAACTTGCTGCAGTAAACAAAGCCAAGTTCGTAAGGCTTGCCCCGCCTTCACGCTCTTCTTATTGGCCCACTGCTCTAGAACTAAACGCGAATGAATTGTTTAATATCAGCTGTCAATCACAATCACTCAGTCAACGCCTCTGGCTTGGGATGACAGGGGGAGCTACAACCACGAAAATAATTGCCACTGTGTATGAAATATGCTAAATAAATAAACTTGCCTTGCCTAAAACCACCTAACAACCATTCAAACCACCCTAGCAACACATAGGAATGTGGTTATCATGACTCGTCAGCACATCCTAGCATTTTTGCTGACCTGCATGGCTGAACACCACTCACATGTCCATGGTAAAATAATTAAGACCTGTGCAAGAAATGACAAAACCTCACACTCACATGACGTTTTCAGAAATATTTCGTCATGTACATCCCTACAATGAAACCTCCCAGCAAATCTCAAAATGGATGAGTAAGAGAGAGCTTTCCCATGAATCACTGCTTTTAATTACTGTACATTTGTTGCTGCTTGTCTAGGCCATGGGGAATGCTCCTAAAATAAATAAGTCACATGGTGTAAACGTTCTGCTAAACAAAGTAACCAAGCTGTCTTGTTAACCTTATTCAGTTCTACTAATGACTGAGCAGAATGATTTTGATCGTTACGTCGCACTTAACACATGTGTAAGAGTCAATCCAAAGGAAACTTTTTTTTATTTGGTATATTTTATGAAAGTACTTACCAAACATATAACATATTCACTTATATGAAAGAGATATGATTTTCAAAACATGAACAAAACTGGTCTTTCTCTAATTATTCAAACCACTTTGAAACTGGTTTCAAGTTCCTTTAATGAAAATATAGGCAGACTAAAAAAAAAAAAAAAAAGCAAAGTTGGTAATTTTTATGGCAGAAAATTGATATTTTTGGATCTAATATTTTGACATTTTCTGCCAAATACTGTGCTTTTTTTACTGTGGCCACTGTACTTCTATTATGTAAACTGCAATGAACCAAGTAAGAACAGATGTGCAAATGCTTTTATTCGCCAACCGCATAGTGCTCTTATGGAAAAAACTGGTAGGTCTTTCCTTTTACTGCGAGAAAACATCTTATGTGTTATGACTGGAAAAGGAAATCTGCTCTGTTTTGTCACACTGAATAATAAAAAAACATGCATAAATATGATTTACATAAAAAACAGACTCTAATTAAGGAGGATTAAAATATTTGCTACTGAAAAGTTGACTAGAACAGCAAGTTTGAGTTTTGGGTGAAATTGTTTTTAAAGGCCAAAGATGTTGACTGTAAGATCCGTTTACTAAACCTATGTGTTTTTTCTGGGGTGGGTGGTTTACATCAATTTTAAATCAACACTGACAATGATTCTGAAACCTACAGTTTTTTTAGTCTGTGATGTTGTCTGACAGTAAAGTTTCTGCCAACCAACAAAATGGAAATTCAAGTAGCCATTATCTCTCAAACAGTGGAAAAGATGTCAGTTAAACATCTTGTAAACAGAAATGATACTTTTACATCAGCGAAGACCATTTTACAAGTGAATATTTCACCAACAAATCAGAATAAAAACTGTGTGTTAATTTGTATTTAATTTGGACCAAACATGGCCAATGAGATGAAACAACACAGTTGCTTTTGTTGGTGCAAGTTCTTTGGGTGAGCTTGGTGTGTCCTGGGGTCAAGGCCAGCTTGGACAACAAGGCATTGCACGACTCGTCAAGGGTACTCAAGTTTGACCTTTGTTTCATTAATTAATTTTCCTTCGGCTTTGTCACTTTATTCATCAGGAGTGGCCATAGCGGAATGAACCACCAACTTATACAGCATATGTTTTACACAGCCAATGCCCTTCTAGCTGCCACCCAGTACAGGGAAACACACCCACACACACTCTTCACAAACACACCTCATACACTACGGCCAATTTAGTTTATTTAATTCACCTATAGTGCATGTCTTTAGACTGGGGGGAACCAGAACCCACACCAACACTTGGAGAACATGCAAACTCCACACAAAACTGCCCACTGACCCTGCCGGGACTCAGACAAGCAGCCTTCTTGCTGTGAAGTGATAGTGTTAACCATTGAGCCACCGTGTGGCCCCTATCCTTGTTTCATTTTTATTGATATTCTGGTTATGCCGAGGTTAAACTGCATGATTTTAGCCTGATTTTGACTTGCCGACAAATGCCTGAAATCACAGGCCCTTGGTGCTCGTCCACGCAAGTAACAATCGCACAATGTGAACCAAAGACACGATCTGAGAGAATTGCAGAGGAGTCGCTGACACCCCTGAGATATTTGGCATGATAAATATCTGGAGCTGCCAGCGATTCAAATCATGCCGTGTGAAATGTGCTCCAGGCCTCGGCAGTGCGACCGTTTCGCTCACATTTGCAACTAAAAATAGACGTGTGCGAACTGGAAAATTTATTTAGTCGCACATGTGCGATTTTGTTTTTAATGAACTCGATTGATGACTTAATTCACTCGGTCACGGTAAAATAACATGGTCTTTACACTAACTTATGGTGTATTACGTTGGCAACCTATTGTGATTGTAGCACATGCTGACGCGATCAACAACAGCTCCTTTATTTACTTCTTGTCAGAAGTCTTTACAATGTTTTGTATACGTTGCTATGCAACGCATGGTACCGAATGGCGGCAGAGCCGCACAACGTGCGGGCCTCATAGAACACATCGTGGCACATCGTGTGAGACCCAATTCAACACCAGCCCTTTCCACACAGACTTTACCTGAGCGGCCCGGTTCTGTATTCGCAAGAAACTGAACACTGCCACAGACGCACATGCTCTAGCCTGATTTATACTTCTGCGTCAGGTGACCGGCGTAACCCACAGCGCATGCAACGCGCGTGGTTGTGCATTTATACTTCTGCTCGCTGTCTCTGTAGGTCTGCATTAAGACTTCCGAAACGCTAGTTGGCAGTGAGGTGTAAATGTTCCTGTGTAGAGTTTCTTCTCTGCTTTTTTGCTTTTCCTGAACATTTCCGGGATGTACAAGTGGCTCAAACTCGCTAATTTTGAGGCAGGAACCGGCGGACGTGCAACAACTTTAACTATGAGGTAAACACATAACAAAACTTTCCTTCCGGAGCTCCTTCACGGGACTCCACACTTGTAAACAATCGCTCGCGCCATTTGCGAGCCCAGACTCGTCAGCGCTACCAAGCCGACCAATCACAGAGCTTACGCTATGCGTCGTTGCGATGTGTAGTTACATTTTTTGAGAGGTGC